GAATCAGACAATCAGACAGCAATTAGGACCAGTACGTCCTCTCTTTATTTGCAAACAAGTAAAACCTTGTACAGTGAATCTTCACACTGCTTCTGCAAAGCTTTTTTTTTTTTTAAAACATTCACGAAACTGCTGTAAAATTCAAGTTTTGGTTTTAGCCTTAAAACGCCGCGTCCGTGCCGCTTGTCCGTACTCCCTTATCGTAACTTTAAAAAAAACCAAAAACTCTTTGGACAGAACGTCACGGCCGGGCTTCGACATTCACAAAATACTTTCAGAGTGTCTGGTTGAACACCAAAAGCCCCTTTATGCGCCTGTCAAGTGTGTCAACTGTGGGTATATACTGTCCTGTAAGTGAAGACAATTCAACAGCACTGCTTTCAAAGTGACAAAAACAACTTCAAGCCACCATACCAAAAAAATACAATGTTTTTTTTTTCTTCTTCTTTTTTTATGAACACACACGTGAGCAAACTTTGTACAACATGTAAATTCATGGCAACCGTTTGTCCTCATAGCCCTATAATTCATCCGCTGATGTGCCTCTGGTCACTTTTTTTTTCGAGGTGTGTGCTGTCAGTCGGTTTCTGGATGCGTACTACATTCTGTAAATGCCTCCGTGTTTCGTCATAAGCCGCAGACGTTCGGTACATGCAAAGCAGCGAGTTGAAAAGTATGCAGGCCTCTGTGTATATACGTAACAGATAAATACAGTACATTTCTGTTTGATCAATAGAACTCAGATAAAGCACAGCAAGTTTGTCAAATCTAAAAAAAAAAACAAACAAACTGTAAATTAAATTAGATCCTGTAGAGAAGCTACAGTACCAGAGTTGTCTGCTGCATAGTTAAAAGCTTACATCAACACTCCTGCTTACACAACGGTAAAGTGCTCGCAAACTTACATCAAGATAAAGGCAACAGCAGAACTAAACACTGAGCTTAAACCGTCAGTCCCTATCTGGAAAATGGGTTTCCCTGTTGAAATTGCAATCCGTCTCTTGTCACCGTTACATTAACCAGTTCATGTGGCAGATTCCACGACTGTGAGAAACTTAAAGAGCCCATATTGTGCTATCTGGGGTTTCTGAAGTGGGCTATAGAGCTGCTTTTTTTGTGCAGGTAAATGGTCTGCAAATTTACAAAGCCCAAAATTCACTCTAAACTGAAAGCACTGCTTTTTACCTGCCTGAAATGCCTCGTTTGAGGTCTGCGCTTTCCTTCTGTTACTCATCGACATCACCATGTAACAACACAGGTTTGATGTGCCCTCAAACATAAAGGAAAACGAGCAGCTGCCTCGTATTCTGCCGTGAAGTTTTTCACCAGCGTTGCTTCTGCCAGTTGTGCATCCATGTATTGAAAGATCTGGGGTTATGTTACGTGACAAACATTTTATTGCTTTTGTCAAACCGATCAAAACATACTGGGATTTTCAGTATAGGGTCCTTAAAGAGATGGAGGAGGTGCTGTAGCAATGTACAGTACGAAACAAATGTTTTTTAACAATAAAGCTTGTTAATGTGCACTAGTAGACCCCAACAATGAAATGAAAAATGTGCATAATATGGGCTCTTTAACTTGAGTAATGTGAACATTATACGGGATGTTGTTCACTGTCCTAAACAAGAACAGGACATCAGGTAAAATTCAGTCCTTTTTTTTTTTTCCTACAGCATATTATTGCACTTCAAGTTCAAGCAAGTCTGGTGCTCTCTCCAGCACCTCGACCCCGACTACAGACCAGATAAAGTCATCCTGTTATTCTGCACTCAAGTCAATTAGCTTAAAAACCTAGCTGAATCAGTCGAGGGACGTTATGATGACACAACACTTATTCAAATCAAAACTCCACACCAGTAACACTGAAAACCCCTCAGGTCTTCTACCTTACAAGGGCAAACACGACGTGGATACGCACCCCGAAGAAATGACTTTTTTTTTGTTTTTTTACACGCCGACACGAATATAATCACAAGGTGCACCAGACACGTAAATACACACAGTGATTTAGTCAGTCTCTGATCTGTCTGTCGACGTCGCAGGTAAAAGCCACAGTATGGTTGTCGTCTCTCTCTGACACCGCACACACACTTCACTACTTTTTGTTCAGAGCCCTATGTAGTCAGAAGTGCAACCTCTTCAAAAACCCAAACCCCAGTCACAGCCGCCGGCCTTCAGCTCACCTGTAAACTTGTTTCAGTGCAAGATTTGGCTAAATGTGATGACACACACACACACACACACACACACAGGGAAAAAAAAAACAAACAGCAGAAGACAAACATGCTGCTCTCTAAAAGCACTGTGGAGCTGAGGTTTAGATCGGCTTGTAGAGAAGAGAGGTGACGTATTTCTTCTTGTACCTGTGAGTCGCGCTCAGAACCATCACACCATCCTGCGGACACACAAAAAAACAACACAGAGACAAGATGCCATAAGTGACACATCCATGGAGCAAATAAAGACAGATTCCAAACACTGCAGACCCGAGAATTAACAAAAACATTAGTGTTTTAGCATATTTAGCACCGCAATTAGGAACACAAGTTTGATAAGGAGAAGCTAAAAAGGACAGACTCGCCACATAAAGAATCCTACTGCTGGTTGTATGACACATGTTTGCACTGCACAATGTGGTGAAACAATAGAAGTTGTAGAGAAAAAAACACCTTTGACAGAAGTGTGACAGTCTCCTGGGATCAGTCCTTGGTTTAAAGTTGTTAAAAAATTTGACTGGTGATTCTATACATGCAGTTTTTATGACATAACAATTCAAATTATGGCCTGAAAAAAACTGCCGAGGGATGTTACCAAGATGGCTGCTAAGTGATGAGACTTGCCTGTGAGGAAAAGCAACTTTTATTAAAAGAAATAAAGAACATCCATCCATTATCTATACACCGCTTAATCCTCATTGGGGTCGCAGGGGGGCTGGAGTCTATCCCAGCTGACTCAGGGTGAAGGCAGGAGACACCCTGGGCTACACTTAGAGACAGACAACCAAGCACACTCACATTCACACCTACAGACAATTTAGAATCACCAATTAACCTCAGCATGTTTTTGGACTGTGGGAAGAAGCCAGAGAACCCGGAGACCCACGCTGCACGGGGAGAACATGCAAACTCCACACAGAAAGATCTCGGGTGTCCTCTCTGGGATGCAAACCGGCAACCTTCTTGCTGCGAGGCAACGGTGCTAACCACTGAGCCATCTTGCAGCCCAAATAAAGAACAAAATATTTTTAAAAAATATGAAAAAAATATGGAACTTTTGTCCATACAGATCTTATTGATGATGAAAATGTAATCTGTAGGTAAGCGATGATCAGGCCCCCTGTGGGCTGTGTGTAACAGGAAGAGTGTGAAATCGGTGCATCCTCTTTAGAGTTTTTCTTTATGAGTCTAATATTTCATGTGCTACTGGTCACATCTGCACATTATGAGAAAGATTCCTGCCGTCAGTGAACCTACCTTTATTGAAAGAGCGTAAAGGTGATTTAGCATGACGTGGTTGGGTTCAGGCAGCAGGGCGGGGTCACACTGTCAACACAGAGGAAGAAGAAAACCACACAGAGAACAGTAAGCAACAACAAAGACCAGCCATGTCAAGAGGAATATAGCACTAAATCAGAAATGTAAATAGGGAAAGGTGGAGACACTGACTGATATATTGGTGTCCTTGTTGAGAATGACTTGAAGCAGGTGAGGTGGGAGTATAGGTGGAGCTTTGAAGTGCTCCTCGGGTCTGAAGATGTACTGCTCCTGGCCGTATGGACCCGGAGGGGAGCTGGACAGATCTGGAAGACAGAGCAGTCACAGATACACTGCTAAGAAAAGTGTTGCACACACTTCTACACACTGGAACACGTGTTTACTGCATGATTTATTAGCCGCTGACTAATTGAAAGGTTTAAATAATTCAGTGACGCATGCTGCCCTTAAAAAAATGACACCATTAATCAGAGCCAGAAACTGTGAAAACAGAAGGATTCAGACTTTTAATGTTCCAACGGTTCTCGAACTACTCATCTGTGACATGACGTTCTGTCTGAAAACTTTGCCAAAAATAAGCAGTGTGCTCCATTAAGGTCCAGTAAAGACACAACTGGGAAGCCTCAAGTGACTCAGGTCTGGCCAACAGCTATGTGAAAAAAAATCCAGCGACTATAACTGCAAGTTGTGTTTACACAGAGCAGATAGGGGACAAGTATGTTGACAAAATCAGAATGTAAGTCATAAAATATCTAGAATGTGGACAGTCACCATTTCATCTCTGTATTAGTAACATCAGTGGGCACTTGGAAAAATGCTTCTATGTTACTGATGACATTTATCTGACTAAATGAAAAGCAGTCTGACCTGACGTGTCGGAGCACTCCAGAGAGTCGACCTGCAGGGCGTCAAACACCTCAAAGTCTGACTTCTTCACCTGGATCAGGTTGTTGATGGTGCCAAGCTGGCTGGTTACCACCGGCTGCAAAAACAAAGGCAATGATCCCAAAGGTAAGGACAAAGTATTTGTATAATCGGGCGGTATGAGGAGCGGCTGTGGCTCAGGTGGTAGAGCGGTTGTCCTGATGGTAAGGTTGGTGGTTCCATCCCCCGCCCCTCCACAGTCGAAGTGTCCTTGGGCAAGACACGGAACCCGAAGTTGCTCCCAATGGCAGATTAGCGCCTTGCATGGCAGCTCTGTCGCCGTTGGTGTATGAATGTGTGTGTGAATGGGTGAATGAGAAACACATTGTAAAGCGCTTTGAGTGTCGCTAAGGTAGAAAAGCGCTGTATAAGTGCAGTCCATTTACCATTTATAATTAGCAGATGTGGCACTCTGAACATGTCTCACTGTGAGTGAAGCCACTTCTACACAATTATTAAAAGGACCCTTTCACATAGCACACAGCAACGTTTGTAAGGTTCTTCAATGGTTTTGCTGACTAACTTCTATGAGAATGATACTGATCATATCAATCAGCACCTCACAGTTTGAATGGATGGACAGACGCCTCCTCATGTAGGAGATGACCAACTGGAAAGCTTTCAGAATTCATGTGCATATTAATGAAAATGTCATGCTGTACCTCTGAGGGGTCATGGACCCACTGCCCATCTACAAAAAACTTGTACTGGTGCTCTCCTTCAGGCAGGTCCAGAATTGCTACGAAGTCATTATGGCTGTGGAGAGAAGAGGAGACAGACTATTAGTGCAACATCAGAATCACACTTGCAACTAACACACGGTGGTAAACAGACACATTCATCATAGGATTCATTCACACAAGGCAACAATGTGAGGATGTACTGCAAAATAATCCTGTCTACCTCTTATTTAGTGGTATCTTTGTGCTCCAGTTATTGAAGGAGCCAGCTATGTAGACCTCCTTCCCCCCTCCGGCCCAGCGGATCACAGTGGGTCGAGCCTGAGGGCCGGTTTTAACCAGGTCATCCAGATCTGGGGTGAATTCTTTCTCTCCTGATGTCTACAAGCAGGAAATATGCAAATGTCAGCTATGAGTCATTTTTAGAGAAATGGTGTGAAATCTGAAAGGCTCTCGGAGAACAAAGATTTAGTGCAGTGATGCGTATTTTAGGATGCGTACCTTGGACTCAGGTCCGTGGGTGTTGAAGATGTTGGGGTCATCTGTGCTGTCCACCATCTTGCTGCTGTGCTCTTGGTCTTTGTGACTCCCGCTGCTGTCTGAACGGTGGGCTTTGCCTCCATGGCGATCTGCAGTCCCCCTGTCAGTTGTGTTACCCATAATGCCTCACTATTTACAGTGTCTCTGGAAAGAAAGGACAGCTTATTACTTTATGTTTTTTTTTTTTTTTATATATATATTTTTGGGCTTTTGCCTTTATTTAGAGCAGTAGAGAGAGACAGGAAAGGGGGGAGAAGAATGGGGAGAGACCTGCAGTAAAGGGTCATGAGCGGGATTCGAACTCACAACCGCTGCATTGGGGACTGTAGCCCCTGTTCATGGGTCACCCGCTCAACTAGGTGAGCTATAGGGGCGCCCATTACTTTATGTTTGACCAAAAATCCATAAGCTTTTACTGTACTTGAGTTTGCCAGTAAAATGGCAGTGACATGTATCAGCGATAGACACTTCATCAGGAGCAATAAGATTATTGGCGGCTGTGGCTCAGGTGGTAGAGCAGGTTGTCCACTGATGGCAACGTTGGCGGTTCGATCCCCCCACATGCCGAAGTGTCCTTGGGCAAGACACTGAACCCCAAATGGCTCCCAATGGCAGATTAGCGCCTTGCATGGCAGCTCTGTCGCCATTGGTGTATGAATGTGTGTGTGAATGGATGAATGAGAAACACAACGTAAAGCGCTTTGAGTGCCGCAAAGGTAGGACAGCGCTGTATAAGTGCAGACCATTTACCATTTATTGTCTGACGGTTTTACTGAAATGCATTTGGTGCAAACCACATTAAAGCACATCTCTAAGCCTCATGGCTCATAACAGCCTTTCACATCTCTTGATAATGTAACATTAAGTTGTACAAGCCAATAACGTAATAACTGGCCAATAATGTAATAAAAGTCCTGAACCGATAATGTAATAACTTATTAAGTTATTGGCTGGTTACTACATTTGCAAAGACTTTTTTTTTTAACATTATTGGCCAGTTATTACAGTATTGGCCTATTCAGTTTAAAAAGTGCAAATTTACCACGTTATCGACTGTTATTACATTATTGGCTTCTCCATATGAGTCTTTGATTGCTGTGTTAACATTAAACTATAACCTGTGTACCTCCATAAGCAGGTGACAGTGGGGATATTCAACATAAGGTGGCTAAATAGAAAACAAACACTTTTTTCTTCTTGCTCATTATTAAAATAAGTAACAATGACCAAGAATTATTAACTGAAATTAAACCTTTTTTGGCTACATCACCCAGCCCTCACTGTGATTTAGGCAGATCTTTAGAAAACGAAAAACAGATTTTAAAATGCCCCATAAACTGTGAGCCAGAATCCTCACTGGACTTCTTCACAGCTGATATTACTGTCATGTTTGTAGCTGTGCTGAGAACAAGTAAGCACTATTTGTCATTGCTAAATCTAAACAGGGCTGCAGAACTCATGCTCTGCTGTTTTATTGAAAGTCTCTTTCCTTTCATGCAAGCCCCAGTCGCACCACTGCAGGCCTGGAGATGCTCCTGACAGGCAGATTACAAACAGGATATAAATATGAAGATCAGTTACAGTGAATGACAGCCATACCTGCGTTGGCTTTACTCTCATGTATTATTATTACAATGTGATGACAACACATGACAGGGACAGTCCGAGGCTACCCACAGCCTACTGTGACATCTACGACATTTTACACGAACAGTGTTTCATTACAACCACATTTAATGTGACAAACAGATCCAAAAGGCTAAACGGCTTTCCAGAAAGGCTAAAGGGCTTATCGGTATGCTAGACAGGTAAAGGAAGGTAACCGAAGCCCGGGCTGTCTCCTCCTCTCTGAACCTGGACTTGCCAGAACAGATCAGACTACAACAACCGCTTAACGCTCTTCGATCACCTGTCAGACACCAGTTAACGCCCACTAGCTTAGCCGCTTCAAGATCAACAAGTTTTCACTTCTCGAACTGAATAATCGCTCAAAATTACGCCACAAATCAAAAGTTGTAAGTGCCTATACCTTGCTAGCTGTATCCTACCGTATCCCCGCTGGCAGTTCAACTGTGTCCACCTCAGGTCACTTCAGCAGCAGCAGAATATTTTTAGCTGCTGCTTGCAGTTAAAGTTAGCTAGCTGCTAGCTGCTAGCTGTCGCTGTCTAACAACCAGCAAGTTGTCAGTTCACGACGCCAGTGTCGATTAATGCAAAACTACAGTTATTCACCGTGTAGTAACGACAGCGAAGAAACTCACCGACCGACAGCAGCTGGTTGTTCTGGCTGTGGTTTGTGTTTTAGCGGAGGGCCCTCCTACGAGCGTCTGAGCCCACCTCCCTACAACAACTGCAGCGCCGCGCTGCTCGACTACGGCGAGCCGTGAGGACAAAAGTGTGTCTGACGGGCTGCCTGTCCGCAGGGTGAAGGACTAGAGGTCGTCTGGGAGGAAATGTCAGGCAGGTAGAAGCTTGGCCACAACATGAGGAAGTTACAGACATTTTACATTGAATATTTAAATAAATAGACATTATTTAATGACTTTAAAGCAGAATAAGTGTAAACTGGGTGGAGTGGTGTGTTGATGCTCTGTTGGTCTAAACTTACTCTGACCATGGATATAAATAATAACATTATTATAAGGTGTGCCTGTTATGAAAGCTACATTTGCAACAATTGTGGTAGATGTTTCTCTAGTTTTGATTTAGTAGGATGATTGAAGATCTACACCTGATCTTTTATTTTTACTTTGTTTTATTTATTTCAATTTTAAAAACTTGAATTACAAATATAAAGCTGAATAAGTTGTTTTTTCTTCTGTTTCCTCACCACAGCAGTGGTGGAAAGTAACTAAGTACATTTACTCAAGTGTTGTATACAATGTACAATTCTGAGATAATTGTACTTTGCTTGAGTTTTTTTTTTTTCATTTTATGCCACTTTCTTTTTCCACCCTGCTGCATTTTAAGGAGGAAATACTGTGCTTTTTTCTCCATTAAATTAATTTACTATGCAGTTACTTTTAAGATGCAGGTTTTACACAATGGACAATTTAAAAAATATACTTTAAGATCGAATGACTGGTTTCCAAATTTTTGGGCTTTGACATCAACGTCACACTTTTCACAGTTAACAGCTCCACCAAATACCTTTCGTTTAATTTCAATGTATGTTCAAATGATCCAATATCTAACCAAAAGCTAAGAATTCAGAAACACTTAAAACAGTTTTGCGTAGCAGAACTTTATTTTTATTTTTCCTCTCCCACTTTTCATCTGACCCCATGCATCTGCTGTCCCTGTGTATAAAACTGTACATTCACACTAGCACCTGCAGCAGTTACAGCAGTAACATGCTGCTGACACACATCATCATGCACCACTATTAATGATCTAATGATACAAAAATATACCAGGAAGCAAATCAGTCATTTAATTGAATACATCTTGCTTTTAATATATATGTTCTTTCACTTAAGTATGGTTTGTCATGCAGAGCTTTAACTGTAATGGAGCGTTTAGTGATATTTCAACCTCAGTAAAGGATCTGAATTCTTTTTCCACCGCTGCACTACAGTGTCTCTACCAGATGCTACTTGGATAACCTAAATTTAATTCCTGTACAGAGGCCAACAGATTAAATTCCAGTTCTGAGCGGAAACGCGTCCACGTGTTTTATCTCTATTGACCAGGTGAATCTTTCAACACATCTCAGCGAGCTTCAAACCACTGATCCCTGTATTAATGTGGAGAGCTGAGACTAAAAAAAAAAAACGCCGATATGAAGTTTCAGCAACTAATAACCTAAGACCACTTTCATCCTGATGAAATCCACGATGACTTGTGCAGAACAATAAAAAGGCTGATTGTCATCTTGCACGCTTCACGAAAACCTCGCACCACTTGCCTGTATGACAGAACAAGTAACAAAATGTTAACTGAAACTGGATCCTGCTGCGGGTCTGTCCGTGCATGTTGAAGGTAGGCGGGCTGTTGTGTTTCTAATGAAAAGTGACACATGGCAAAAATATGTTCTTTGCAAGTACTTTAGTTCAATGACCAGGTATGACTGTTTTCATCGCTGAGTCCAATGAACAAGCATAACTGAAAACATATTTATATATATACACAGTACATAAATGTAGTATATATATATAGCTACAAAATGAATCTCCTGATGTTATAAAGGTCTACACCAAGAGGCTATAAGGCACATTTAAATAGTTATCAAATACAGAATGTGGGATTAGTGGTTTTCACATTGCACAAGATGTGTGTCTTCATACACACTCTATTCCAGTGTTAACAAGAATCGATTTTTCAGGACCACTTATTTTTAGTTGACAGCTGCTGTTGGAGTGCTGTTTGTCTGGAGCTGATGTCATTCCTAGAACAGGTGTTTACAGCCGAGAGAAGTGTTGGATTACCGCTACAGTGTGTGAACATTTAAACTGACATAGTGTTATTTTTCTCATTCTGAGACCACAGAAATGGGACGGGATAAATTCCACTTTTCTCCAGAAAAATTATTTTCCTTCATTGTGCCCCCTTTTTTTTTTTTTTTTGGATTATCACAGTTTCAAGGAATGACAGTGACATAAATTAAGCAACTCATTATATTTACTACATTTTAAATGTGCAGAACTGTCTTGGTGTCAAGCTTTGTTTTGGAGAGTGTAGATAAGGGGAGTGTATAACAGTAGGACGAAACTTAAAGCATGCGCACCACAAATGATTAATGCTTTAGCTACTGGCAGACAACTCTTGTAACACACAGGTTCCCATGTGATGAACTTCTCCGTCAACTGATGGAAGTCATGCTCTGTGTGCTTGATGTCTGTCTGTCTGTCTTTTTGGAGTAAATTCAGTCAGGAAGCTCTCTCTGTCATTTGTTCGCAACGTCACTTGGTTAGATTCCTAAGCCAGTCTTCATGTACTCGTAAACCACGTAGCTAATGCTGACAGCCGGAATGACTTTCATGAAGTTTGGCAGGATACCCCGGTAGAGTCCGAAAAAACCATCTTTGGCTACAATCTTCTTCATCAGGGAACTCATGGACGGCTGGTCTGTCGCATCCAGAGACGCTGCAAAGAAATATGAAGTCAGGGAGGTAATGCTGTCTCTGAAGACACACTGTTTATTTTGGTGCGGTATGTAAGAGACAGCTACACTTTGCACATTGGTAGGTGTTAAAAAAAAAAAAGGTTTCAGTTGGTGCAGAGTCAATTTTACTTTCCACCAGCAAGTAAATCATCTTTTCATCTAAGAATCTAAATGACATTTAAAGACAATATCCCTCACTGTTGCAGCTCCTCTGCATGATGTGTGCTCTAACACAAGTTTACTAAAGATTGTGTACCTTTACTGAACATCTTGGCACATATTCTGCACTGTGTAAACGTGCCATTTAACTTTTGTCATCACTGTGATCAAATGTCAAGTTTACCTTTTGCCTGCATCCGTGTGCGTACAAGTGCGAGTGGATAGCTGGCCAGCTGCCCACAGGTACTAGAGATGGTCCCGCAGCCCAGCAGCACCAGAACTCCGGGGTTAGCGGAGTCGTTTGCGTGATACGACAACCAGGTGTTCTTCAGACTCTGAGACACGGGAGAGAGATGATACGAGAACAGAGAGCTCAACTACTGTAACGCATTCCCCTGATTAAATGTAATGTCGCCCTGCAATACAAGATGAATTGTGCATACAAATGAGTTAATTAAACAAAGTGCATTAAAGGTGCAGCATACATCACAAGTGCCTGCGTACCTCATAAACAGCGAGGTCTATCCCGGCGTAGGGAATGATGCCCAGTAAGTTTGGAATGTAGCCCTTGTAGAAAGCTTTGACACCCTCTTTCCTCAGGATCTGCTTGGCACAATCAAACATTCCTGCGTATTGGCCGGTTTTCCTCAGGGTCAGTCGAGTTTTTAACACCTTAAAGCGAAACAGCACAAAATTAGGTACATTTGGTTTGTGTGGTGTTTTGCTTGAAAGAGGAAACTTTGAAAAGGTCCCATATTATGAAAATCAATTGTTATTGTGCTTTGTGGGTATTATAAACTTGGACGTGTAAACCAGGAGCTGTTAAGATATGAAGACATTTACTTCTGCCACTTCTCAAGACCTCCCAACTAGATAGCCTCTCTGCTTTTTAAGCAAGTAAGAATTTCACTGAACTGGTCTGTACTAGCTATTGAAGCTATAGTCGTCAAGCTTGAACTCTGTTTGCCGTTCTCCTGCTCACATGTGGTTGCACTTTTCACCTTGTATATATATACACATGTATATATGATGATGATTACTATTATTATTATGAGTATTATTATTTTCTCTATTTGTTTATTCCCTTTTTGCACTGTCTGGAAATTTGATTTATTTATTACTGCTATTTCAATCTCTCTCTCTCTCTCCCCCTATATATATATATATATTTACTTCTTGTGTGTTTTATTCCTTATTCTTATTTATCTTTGTTTATCTAATTATTATTGCTTCCGTGCTTCACTGCGCGCTATACCGTGTATAACTGTGTTTGTGACCAATAAAAGACCTTGAACCTTGATTTTATTACAGCTGAACTCCTAATAAACTAGTACTCATTTACACATTTTGGGCACAAGACCACATGGGAACCAGCAATCAGTTCAGAGCCATTTCAAAGCGGCTGCACTGCACAGCTAAATTACTGATTTTATAACTGCAATGTTGTCTGACAAACTCACCACACACACGATTTATAAACAATGGCTGTGCTGTGAATTCAGTGACATTTCCCCTAAAATTATCGATCAGAGGGAAAGTGGAAGTCCTAATGTCACACTCATTTACATCTGCGTTGGCTGCCCTGCGGTCAACTGTTTTGCTCTGTGCTGTCAGTCACAGAGTCTTCTTCCTCAAGGGGGCCTAGACAGCAGCAGATCAGCTGCATTTAAAGCTACAGGCACTAAAACAGCTCATGCAGGTTAAAACCAGGAGTTAAACAGTCATAATGACATAATTCAGCTTTGCAGTATTTTGAGACCTGAGAAAGTGAAAGACACAATCTAGGGACATGTGAGACTGTTATTGATGTGCTGACATGGGGCATAATAAGGGATCTTTAAAGACCTTTACTGTGATATCATTGCATCCAGTGAGCCAGTCCCATGAAGCCATGCAGCACTACTCATCTTACCTCCATTGGGTAGATGGCTGTCTGTGCTGTGGCCCCGGCCAGAGATCCAGCCATAAACCTCTTGTGCGTTTCAATCTTCTTTCCCTCTGACGTTAGCAACTTTTTATACTGTAACAAAAAACACAAAACAATCAGTAGCCATGTTGTTTGTTATAAATGGTACACAAACTTGGATATTTTAGAGGCAGAGTTCCTCACTTGTTCATATGCGGTGAATTTGATAGCTGTCTCAGGTGCGATCTTCAAAACATTGATTCCGTTTCCCCTCCACAGTGAAGCCAGACCTCCCTCTGTAATCATCTGCTTGAAGCCCCCTATAAGACTTATCCGGTTGCTCTTTGAAGAATGAACCTGCGGTACAAATAAATGCATTCGAGCACGACAGTTTCACACACACGCATCTATTTATCTATCTGTTTCTTTCATATTACCCACCTGCATGAAGACTTTCACTCGGTCCAGCGGGGCGGTCCCAGTGCGAGAGACGGCCCCCGCCACTGCACCTGCAACAAGCTGCTTCCACCAGCCTCCCGTGCTCTTCTCTTCCTCTGTAAACTCGTCTGGGATGGCAAGACTGTCGCCTATGTCCAGCACCTAGGGATTACACAAACAAAGTATTTCAAATTATTCAAATCAGGCATTCAAATGATTTGAATTCATGGCGGCTGGTACATTTGATTTGTCTGTCTGCACAATTCCTCTCACTCGAAATACAAACACGTAATCAGTGTTAATGCCAGTTTATGTAAAATAAACAGTGTAAAATGCTATGTATATCATTTTAATTTGGCTTAGAGAATCCACCTCCTTCAAATAGAGTCCGTTTGTGTGGCTGTAAATGTGACAAAAAAAAATTCAGGGTAAGAACTTCTCCTTTTGAGATCTATTTTTAAATGTTGTGCAGTCTTTCAACCTTGGCAATTACCAGTTGTACGCTACAGGGAGGGCAACATTTACACAACCTTCAACATAAGATTTCAGCCAGAAACCTAATAAATCAAGATAATAGCACACTTGTTTTACTGTATAATAGCTGAGTAGTTAAAAAAGAGCCAAAACATTGCTATCAGCCTATTCTTACCTATAATTGATTTGAGCTCCTTAACCTTTTTGCAAGAACTGCTTGTGAAATCATAATCACTGAGCTGAATGTGCCCTCCTCTCGCACGCCTGAGCTGTTTCAGATAAACAAAACCAATGTTTTTCCAAAAGCACGAAGCCGTCTGTGAAAAACATGGTACGATGGCAATTCAACGCAACACTGCAGGCAAACAGAGGTTGTCCTGCTACCATGACACATTTAAAACGCCTTGTTCAGCAGAAGGAGAAAGTCTATCAAGGGAAGGCACTGTTTTGTTCATGATGGAGCGAACAGCCTGTGCTGCAAACAAACCAGTCAATGGCATCTTTCTTTTGCATGAGGAAGAGGTGGAGGAGGAAGCTGAGGGGGGAAACAAGAGCGCAGTGCTGTGACCCAATTATCTTGACCGGTTCAGACTTTGAAAGCTCAATGTGAGCTGCAGAGAAAATCCATAATATCTAACACATGAGGACGACGCAACATGTGATTCATTCCACAGCAGCTGCATCTGCATGCGCTGGCCGGGTGTATTTCACAATGATGTGATTCATACCGAGGAGTGCTTCCAGTAGCGTATGATCTCTTCCAGGTTGTGGCCGGGGTACAACAGGAAGTGTTCCCTCCACTCGTTCCAGTCGACCATCATGGTGCCATCAATGTCCATACTGAGGGAACAAACACACAACTTTTTTTTAACCTATGAAGTGGTGGAGATTAATGCTGCACTGTCTGCAATATCTTTGAGCACATTGTAAACAGAAAGTGAAGCCAAACCTTTGCAAGATTTTCAGTGCATCCTCTCTGCTGATATCCATGCCCAGCTCTGCAAGGGACTGCTGGATCTCTGAGGCATCAATGCGCCCTGACATATAAAAACCAACTCTGTGTAAGATATGCTGCAGTGTAAACAGCGGATATGTCACAGTGTAAACATTCACTGGCATGTGTCAGCTGCTCCTGCAAAACTCCATCTCCTACCATCGTTGTTTCTGTCCAGGCTCTTGAACGTCAGCAGCAGTTTCTTCTCGTGCCCCTTCAGATATTTGGTAAACTCGTTGAAGTCCAGACACCCGTCCTTGTTCTGGTCACCGGACGACACAATTTTCTGCAGAGAGGAGATACAATCTGATGGTTCATTTCTGGCGTCCTGGAGTGATTACCAGTGTAGGGGGGGGACAATCAGTCATGCTACTATGGAATTTCATGCAAAACCGAGCAGGCCAGGACTTGAAACTCATCCCCTTTGGCCCCCCCTGAGCTGTTACCTGTGCGGCACCCTGGCGGAATATGCCCATCGCCTTGAGGCCCGCTCGTAATTCAGCCACATCCACTTTGCCATCTTTGTTGGTGTCGAGCCTCTCGAACAGGTCCTGGTACGATCGCTGACTGTCGGCATCCCAGCACCGGGCGTTTGATAGTAAAAGCGTCCGTAAGGTCTGATACATGGTGGAGCTAATGTGGAAGCAGCGTCCAGACGAGCCGTCCTGCGCTCAGGATCTGATTATTAATCCATGCTGAACATCAGTCGTACATCCTGCGCAAAAATCCACACGTGAGCTCGGCGTTATCGATGCAAAAAAAAAAAAGAGGCTTTCACTTAGTTGATTCACCAAACTGCTGCCCTGTGGAAAGGTGTACTCTGAAGCATTTCAGGGGAGGAACTGCAGCAATTCAGGGCGGAGCGACGAGGGCGACGTAGCTGCTCGATGCTTCATACGGAAAAGCGGGAAAGATGGTAAAATAGGGAAGTGCCGACATGAAACACCCGCTGGATTAACCATATGCATAATCCGGATTAGGTTTATCAGAGCTAACTTTATCGTCCCCTTTTCCTCCCTTTTTGTCCCGTGTGATAGCGCTGCTGCATTACAGAGGAAATGTAATCTGTTCATCTCAGGACGTGTCAGTGCAGGAACATGAAGCGCAGTTTCTTACAGCGCCGCTGCTCTCCAGCAGGGGGCGACGTTTCATCACAATGCAGGAGCAGACTCAGGTCAGTTTGGCTGTATTTTAAACCCAAATCAGCAGCGATCTGAGGCTGCACGGAGCAAAATATATTCAAATATATATTTTTAAAAAATAATACAAAAAATATATTTAGACCTTTTGCTACAGAAACTCAAAACAAATGATTCGGGGTTGTGAGGTTTCTTGCTATAATACACCTAATATGCAAAATCAGTTTCAATATAATGTGTAATATTTAACTTTTTATGTCGAATATTTCAATTTCCTGCGAGAAACTTCAAAATAATGTGTTATATTACTTTACTTTAGTGACATTTGAAGCGTTACTTCTTACTTATCTGTTCTATCCTTATTTTAGATGTATTTCTTTCTTCTTTTTTTTAAACTTTCAGTAATGTATGTCCTAATTTTTCTGTTAGGCACTGCCTTTATTCTCAGATTATGTAATATTGTTCTTTGACTAATATCTGATGCAAGAATTTTCATCAGCATTTTCTTATCTGATGTGATATTGTAAGGTAGTCATCTTACTATGTGAAAGGACTTCCGGATGCTAAATAAATATACTGAAAACAAATCGAAATGCACCATGTAGGCTAATATTATAATTAATTCATCCCTTCTTTTTAACAATAAGTATTTGTTGTTCCAGCACACTCATCTCTACAACAGAGTGGACGTCATGAAGCAACAAAGTCTGCACTGTGTTGGAAATGATAATGGGAGGATTGGGATCATAGAGCAGAAATCACAAGCCAGTAATGATTTGCTCATCTGTGACTAATAGATTTAATGTGGCTCCCGATGCCGGTTTGTGCAATGGTAAGGGCTTGGTGAAGTTAGCAGACAATTAGGGGACATTATCAAACATGTCAATCGAGAGCATTAGATGGCAGATTGTCTGTGTACCGTGCTGTCTGAAAAGAGATGACAAAAGGTGGAGCTGTGGACATTCAAGTACTTGGCTACGGCTATAACTGTCATGGCAGCATTCAGCATATCAACAGCCCTGTGTTTTAAAGTGCTGTTTTATAGTCACTAATCAAAGGAGTGTCTGTGTACCTGTCACACTGTCTGATCATAGTCCTTTAAAACCACACCTCACCAGGATGTGAATTAACTCAGTAGTCAAGAATTAATCACCAGTTGAACAGCTCAAAAACCTTGGCTACATTTTACTATTTTCTAATAAGAACAATGCAAATGAGATTTTCACATTTTTGCTTTAAACCAGAAAAGAAGTTCATGTGTATGCTGCCCTTTGTTTTTGCTTAATGTCAGATTAAACTGAAATAAATTTAAATGAGTTCATTCAAGTGTGCTTGAGTACAATTTTGAGGTTCTCTCTTTTAATTTTTTATAAAAGACTTCTCATGTTTAACCACCCCGACTGACCAGAATTGGATGTTTAATGCCACACATATGAATCGGAGCATTTCTTTCCTGTTCTTCTCTAAAAAAATAAGCATCTGCTTTTCTGAAGTATTTTAATTTTTAGTCCTTAATTCTAACTGTTTACACAGAAAAACACTGCACTGTACACACTCTATTACATTGAACTGACAGCTGACGTTATTTTTGACCTAAATACTTTACATACAACATAATAACAATGAATACTAACCCTAACCCTGCTTTAAATGATTAGATCCTGAACAAACACTCTCTCATCTTGCCTGTACTACTGTGCATGTACAGCAAAATGACAATAAACTTGATTTTGTTTTGATTTGATATGCTTATAATAAATTATTGTTTTGGTATTAATTTGGTAAAAAATAATCAAACAGTCTCTATAGTAGATAAAATTAACCCCACCTCTACATGCAGGTTACATTTCAATTCATCTGTAATATTAAAAACACTAGGCCTGCAAGCATTAATGTAACATAACTTTTGTAAACTCTGAAAAGGGGCAATGATGGGAGCTTTTGCTGTTTGGGTATATTATTAGTGAATACTTGTACTTAGTGAGCAGTTAAATAAAAAGCACAAATACAACAGAGCATTCCTACAGTGTGCTATTATAGCTATCTGGACAAATAAGATATTCTGCGAGATAAATCCTGCTGAGTGTACTTTTGTTTTGGTTCATTTAACAACAGCTTTTATGGTTTATTTTGGCTGTGAACTTTTTTTTTTTTTTTAAATCCACAGATTACTTTAACTGTTGAGAAAACAAAAAGAGATTTTTTTTTCTTTTATTAACTTTATATTATTGTAATATTGGGAGACACTACAGGTATAATATAATCTGAACAATGCAATAGTGCACTAATGTAATTTTTGATGATGTAACACTTCTTTTTGTCACATGCATGCTGAATAATGGATATTCTTCCTTCTCTTTTCTCTGTTTCTCTTTCTGCAGCCGTGTCGTGGTCACGGGATCAGTGATGTTACTTCAGGGCAATAACTTTTCACTGTATCTACCGTTTTAGAGAACCTCGTTTCTCCTTTCATTGAATGAGTTCCAACCAAACTGTAACGTCCAACCACTACAATCGTGACTGTGGCATTTCCCTTTTTTTTCTCCCACCCACCCTTGTCCAATCAAACCAGGGAATGTCCCTCACGTCACGGTTGGTATTTTTCAGTGGGTGTGAAGGAAGAAGTTTGAACTTTGAATCGTGTCCACAGCAGCAGCAGCAGCAGCAGCAGCGGCGGCGGTACAACAGCTGAGAGAGCAGCAGTGACAGCAGAGAAAGCGTCCAGCTGTCTGTCAGCCAGGACCCGCCGTGTTCCCCCCTCACACAACTTTTAGGACCATGTCGTTCATTCTTATGAAGAAAAAGAGATTCAAATTCAGAGTAGACTTCGACTTGGAGGAGTTGTCGTCGGTTCCCTTCGTGAACGGAGTGTTATTTTGCAAAGTGAGGCTCGTAGATGGAGGCTTTGCCGAGGAGTCGACTCGGTAAGACTTTTTATTCTATTTATAGCGAGGTTAATATTTATAGCATGTTGCCCGAACAAGCTAACGTTAAGCTGAAGCGAAACTTTCTGACCACTTCTAGGTCAATATTAAGTTTACTTCGGACACCTGTTTAGCATTTCTTACCCCGTTTTTTCCCCCCTTTCATTAACAACAGTAGAATAATGTGCACAATAGTTAACGTTTAGCTAGCTTACAGCAGCTAACTTAACTCACCCAGCCAGCAGTGGAAGACTTGTATGCAAGAAGACGTTAAAAAGTTAGGGTGCAGTGATTTAAAGTGACTTCAAATAGGCCAGAGACGTTGAGTTCTTCAATTAGGTAAGCTCTGTTCTGTTAAAGAGATTTTTAAAAAAGTTCTATTTTTTTTCGGTATTCTGTGTTTCTACGGGTGTTGCTAGGCAACAAGTACCGTCAATGATTGGTCCTCGATAGTGACTTTTTAATCAACTGTGGGATACAAACAACAAAACACAAACAACAACAATAATAGTAGTAGCAAACACAATAATTTTAATGCAGTTTAATGGAACATATATTCTTTAGTATTTGTTTACTGTTCTTTTTTATTTATTATTATTTTTTATTCTTGTGCATCTATTTATTTTATTTTTATTTTTATTTTTCCTTCATTTAAACAGGTGGATTAATTGAGAACAAATTCTCATTTACAATAACGACCTGGCCAAAAGGCAGCACAGAACAGAAAATACAATAAAAGGAATACAGCCATTAAAAATAAAAATAAAAAAAATCAATACACAATGTGCTACGTACTCATTTTTAAATTCATAACAGTGACGATTTAAAACGTGACTTTCTTCCATGGCAAAGGGGCATACAAGGCCAGTCTCCGTCTTGGACCTGTGATTATAAGTGCTTGTATTGCTTAAATGAGTCACTGGAAAAACGGACACAGTTAGCACATGTCAACCGCTAGGCCTCATCACCATGGTAACCTTCTACCCCTAAAAACTACAAACACAGTATTCTTAGTTTGCTCCAGCCACAGCTTTTATTCTCTTTTTTTTTTTTTAAATACAAGCACATTAACGATCTCATTTATGACATATGGGGTCATTCTTTTTTGTCGTGCTATTTTTAAAAATGATTCCTACATTTTCCCTGTGGCAAATATAAACTACAAGCCTACATCCCCTTATTGTGTTTCCAGTGATCAGCATTGTCCACTCTGTGCCTTGTGCACATCCCTAACAAGTCAGTTTTACCAGTCAAGTCAGGTCAGATTTATTTAAAAAGTGCATTGAACTAACAAAATAAAATAAAGAATAATGAAACCATGAAAAAAAGAAAAAGAAAAAGCAACTCACATACTGAGACCAAGGAATGAAAATGTGTTTTAATGTGGGACTTGGCACTGTAAGGGCCAACCTAACATGCAGAGGCAACTCCCCAGAGTTCAGGAGCTGATAACATATCCCAAAAATCACTAATTTGCTATTTGTAAAAGATTCATACTTCAAACACACTGGGAATCTTAATCTACACATGTAGGGCCGAGCATCTGACTGTTTGCAATTAACAAATGTTTGTAAGGGTGAGTAAATGAAATACATCATCGAATCGTACTTCGTAGGAGTTACTTTAAGCATATAAAAAGCTCATTAACTAATTTCACAGATATAGATTTAACAGATTAGTAATTAATATATATTTTCTTTCAGTATTCAGCATGCCTTTGTGTTTCTGTATGAAGCAGTGTACTTCAGTCGTGTGCTTGTTTCACAGGGAGAACGTCCAAGCCAACTGTGTACGCTGGAAGAAGAGATTCTCTTTCATGTGTAAGATGAGTGCCAACGCTGGGACAGGTGTGCTGGACCCCTGTTTGTGCCGAGTGTCTGTGCGCAAGGTACAGGACATTTTTTTTTTTTGTGACATCAAGTTCTGCTTTGTTGGCGCTACAAAAATGCACAGTAGCAGTTTTCTGTCGCAGAGTGTAGGCAGTTAATAGAGACTTGAATGTGCTAAGAAAATGTACATAAGAGCAGAGGAGCTGTTAATTTGTAACCTCACCACAACAGTCAAGTGTTTTGTGTAGACTTTAGTCATACTGCTGGGAGTTACCAATGTTTTAATCAATATGCTGTGCAAGATAGCAACAAAACAAACAAATGTATTAACACTTACTTTTGTTTTTGTCATTTTAGGAATTAAAGGGTGGAAAGACTTTTGCAAAGGTAATGCTTCTCCTCTAAAGTCTGTAGATTTGTTGTGAACAAAGCAGCTTAAGTACAAAAGATCAGTTGAAACAGTCTTATCAACAAAATGTAGATAACAGTCCTTCAACTGTCCTTAGAGGACTTTATAGTTGGGTGAGTCTAATGACTAAGGATGTTTTTGTTTGTAGTTTCCGGCTTTGGTTACTGATTGAAAAATCTGTAAATCAAGGCCCACGCCATGTTAACCAGTAACTTTAATGGTGAGCAAAAAAACTAGGCCATTTCATTATAGAAGGTCCCATCACATACATGTGCATTGCTTCCTATAACCTGACGTGGACCGTGTCTTTTAACAACACATTCTTAATGCACAAATAAATTTTAATTATGGTTTGAAGGTTGAGAGCACTTAATTGAAGAAACACGCACAAATTAGTGCTCAGTACTATCTATATTTAAGCTGTTTAAACTGGCTGCTTATTAATTCATTTATTAATTAATGACTTTTAACCTTGTGCAGCTGGGCTTTGCTGACTTGAACCTGTCAGAGTTTGCTGGGTCTGGCAGCACTGTACGACGGTGTCTCCTCGAGGGATATGACACAAAGAACACCAGACAGGACAACTCAATTCTCAAGGTATGTTCATGTAGTGCAGCTCAACAAAACTTCTGTAAACAGTGTGGTAAATGTCCTCAGGAGTGTCTAATGCACTGGCAATGTGTTGGCACAGTTAAATAATTCACTCCTAACTGTCTTCACAATTTAAGAGACGTAGCTCGATCTGAATACAGAGATAAAAATGTTTGCATTACCGAGATTAATATGCCACCTAGTCTTGCAAAGACTCGTTGCCCCGAAGCAAAGTACCAGTTGTTGAGTTCTCTGTTTGAGAAAGTTTTACGTATGACAAGGATGGAAAAGTTGGAACGCCTAACGATGATTGAGACAAGACATGTCTGGGCCTGAGGTGTGTAACGAGCCTGAACCATGGGAATGTATTTAAAATATGCATGTTCTTCCTGGGGCATAGACTCTACAATTCTACATTTCTTTTAAAAATAGTATTCTAAATTGTAGTTAACAGCGACTGTGTGAAACCACACTACACAGGAAAATTGGGCCTCACCAACACAGTTGTCTGGCAACCTAACACTGACTGTCCTGTTGTTATTGTGTCTGTTTACAGGTTGTCATCACCACACAACTTATGTCTGGAGACCCCTGCTTTAAAACGTAAGAGCTCTTCTTGACATCATTCATCTGTTCCTTTCAAGAAAATATCATTTCACACTCAAACGATGGGACTGTTAAACTGTTATGTTCAACTCTGTTCAACTGCAAAACTTTAAAGTTGTGGTTACCAACAAAAAAAGTACAAAGGTCTGCACTGAACCACAGAGGAAACCGTCTTCATCACATCCTGTCTGTTACTAAACAGAAAGCAGTCGCTCATTTGCTGTCAGCAGCAGCCACAGAGTTTAAAATGATGAAGAATTAGTCTGTAGATGAGAGCTTAGAACTTTTATCTAAGAATCTAATCTAACACCTCACCCAGACTATGATCTGTCCAACGTCAGCAGTGAGCAACAGCTGATATGAGATCAGTTCAGCCCAGAGGACAAATTTTCAGGAAAATCCAGAACTGTATGCAGAGGTGTTTGTCACAAAGGATGTGATGTAACGTCACACTGCTGGCAAAGCCTGTTCCATGTGCAAACACTAAGCTTTCTTCAACCAACAAGCGCCTTTATATTCGTTCCTGCTCCAACTCCGCTTAGTGTATAATAACACACAGGCGGCTGCCTTGGAGATTTCTAAGACTTAGTCATTCGTCCCACGCAGTGTTACTCATTGTGTGTAGAGTAATTACAGCAGTACACAGAGGAAAGATGACGTTCCATTTTTTTTGGCTCTCCTTATTTAATTCTGTGTCTGCATCTGTGTCCTCATCACTGAGTTAAACATACCACCTCAGCAGAGGAGTTTCCTGTGGTAACGTCTGTTGCACGAGGACTTACCAAACCTAATTTACATTCTAAATAGACAGATTGCTTATCTACTTATAATATTCTAACCAATTTGAGTAAAGAGACAACTGACTTTGTTGTTTGACCCTGAAACTAACTAACTCTAAAATTGCCATTGTTAATCATAAATTCCACCTGTGCTTTTTCTGCAGTAATAAGCTAAAACGTCGAAAAGGGTGCTGCTCATTGGTCAATTTAGTCTGTTTATTAATCTTCTGAAGCAGTAAGCAATATGGCAATTGCAGGTATTGCATAAAGCAATATTTTGTGCCATCTATATCTTTACACATGATCTATGTACTCTCTATAGTAGTTTGTATGAGTAACTCTTGGCAAACATTGAAAATCCATTACATTTTTGGGCACTGAACTATCAAAGATAACATTTTTTTTTAAACATACTATCAAGCTTAAACATCAAACATAGCAACTTTAAATAAACCACTAACACATGACATGTTGTCAAAGTTCCTGTATGAGTATTGTATGTGAGTGTAACATCTTTTTTTTTAAATTAAAAACTGACAATTATAGAGTACGCTGCATATTATACTCACTGTTGATAAAGCAGTTCAAAGTATACTTAAGACATCATCCTGCCTCCAAATAACTTGGCTTGTCCCTGTGTTCTCTTTAGTCCCCCATCTACAGCCATGACTCTGGGAATCCCACAAACTGAAGCAGAGTGTCTCCATGAGGACAGGAAAGGAGGGGACATCTACATAACCCATTCACTCACTCGTATGTATATACACTCTGGCTTTAAAGAGTGCACTGTTCTTTACAGTATATAGTTTTTGGCAAAAGTATAGATTTTGTAGGAGAGAGTTGTAGAAGGCAGTATTTGTGATGAGCTTCTGTTATTATTCAGAAGCCAACATTAAAATTTTTAAAGTCCTGGCGAGTTTTTCTGTGGCGGTATAAGCTTTCTCTTTGTGAATTGTTAAAAAAAAAACTTGTGATGAAGCCCATGATTTGCACATTTAATCTTTGTGTGTCTTCTTTTAGAGCATCCAGGAAAGTCAGTATCAGTCCCAGAGGAGCTGATAGCGTACGGTCACTCCAGAACATCCAGCTATGCAAGTCAGCTGTCAAAAATTTCAGGTACAAGCACAGCAACACATATTTATATCCTTCAAACAAAGGCAACAATTTTACCACACTCATTATACAAAACATAAGCACATCCTCTAACATTGTGGGGTTTTCCTTTTCCTGTTTTGTAGGTTACAGCTCGAATCACTCCAGTTTAACAGATCTGAGCCATCGGCGGAGCGGGTCAGGAGGTTCTGCTTCTACAGGCATCGGCAGCATCCTTGAACCCAGCGATCAGCATGGTGAGAGAGGAGAGAAGGAGTTTAGGAGCACTCCCCCAGTCTCTGCAATCTGCCATCATGCATCTGAAAACCCCTCCACCCCCACCAAGGTTCTAAGGTAATACCTGGTTCTGTTTTCTGACTGAAGTGTAAAATATCCACAGTACACTGAAACTCACGGGCAAGCTGTAGGAATCATAGCATGTTGTACCTTCACACAAACCACAATGGGAAATTGGATTATCAAGTTGCACAGTATTTGGAAACACAGTTGCCATCATATATACAATACAAATAAGGAAACTTTGTATTTGTTGTTTGTTTATTGCCTAAGTAAGCTACACTTTATAACATTGCAATAAAGTAATATCAGGCTTTTTTTCCTTTCTTCTTACCTTTCATTCTTACATATTTTCTTTTTTAAGCTTTGTTTTTTATTCATATTTAAGTATACAAACCCAGGAGTCAGACTAATGTTTCCGAGGTCTGTTAATTATATTGTATCATGTCATGTTTTGTCCATTGTTTCTTATAGGGGACATATTTGTAATATTTAAGCCTGTTTCTTTTTCTTCCTTAGACACCCAGTAAAGCAGAACTCAGTGGAAAATCAGCTGAAAAGAGTTGATGCCACCAGGGTGGATGCAGATGATATAATAGAGAAAATCCTGCAGAGCCAGGATTTCAGCCATGGCTTCTTGGACTCCAGTGCAGAGGGTGTGTACACCTAATCCTGATGTGGAAAGTTGCCTACCATCTTGCTGATGAGATCAAATTACTTCAGGGTGTTGCAATGCAACAATGCAATGTCTCCAAGAACTTGATTCAAAGTATGCAATATCCCCAAAGAAAAAAGTTTGCCAAAGATGACTTCATTATAATTAGGTGTTCATGGTATCAAATAAATATAATACTTTAACAGACGTCTAAACTGTATTTCGTTGCGGATTACAGAGCTTAGTTTGTCAGTTCTATGAATACCACAAGGGCAGTTTAACCTTATAGATAGATAGCTGGACATGTAGAGGACAGACATTTATTGTGTTAAGCAATGGTGACTCTCCCTGACGCGCACGCACTTTATAAACTACCTCCCTGAACGTTCTTCAAAATATTTAAAGTTTAAGACTGTGTGGTTTGTCGTCAGCTGTCTCACCATCTTCCCGCTAACATCCCCCAGTTAACAGTCATTTATTTTTGGAAGTCCTGCAAACTACAGAGTGTCAGCGAGGTGTTTTCAAACCCTAAGTGTGTGTCAGTTTTCTCATTTCTGTATTGTATGTGTGTGTGTTGTTGCAGAGGAGGGGCTCAGCTTGTTTGTGGGTCCTGGTGGGAGTACAGCCTTGGGAAGCCAGCACACAAGGTGGGTTTGATTATATAACTGTGTATTGTGGGTGCCACACACCAGACGTCTATAACAAATATGGGGATTTGCAGTGATGCTAAACGAAGAATCTGATCAGGAGAATTTGTGTTAATCACACACAGTATGTTTATTGTCTTCATAACATGTGCTGTATGTTAAAATGACTTACATTTTACAACATCGTGGTAGTTTTTGCACCTAAAACAATTCCATTCAACCAGATCGGATGACCGCCCTCATTTCCTGTCATCTATAACACATTGTGACATTCTCTTTCAGGGTCGCAACTGGAGCCTTTGAGCAGGTGGTGATCAAGCGCTAGGCTACGGGAAGCATGTGTCTGTCACAAAGGGTGCCGTATTACACTGATGCAAGGGCCACAAGTCTGAACAGTGGATGTGCCGTCGGAACTTGCTCCCATTTCACTCCAGGAGATTTAGTTTCTCTTATGCAATCCCCTCCCCGCCTGACTTACAGCTTCTTGTTGGCCTGGGCAGCCCTCTAGTGTTCAAGAAGTGGAGCTGAACGCCAAGTGACCGAAACACTTTGTCAGCGAAGACAACTGGTGTAATGACGTTTCTGTTGGTCTCCTTCAGCTGTGTGAAAATAGTAAGACATGGGATTCCCACTGTCTGCTCAGCCCTCTTTTGAGCTGCAAGGACTGAATCCTGTTTTTTGTGTTTTTTTTCAAAAGCAGATAAAAGTGTCTATCCACCCACTACGGTATGAATGTGATTTTGTTTCACTGTTAGTAACAAAAAGCCAAAAATATCTGTACTGTAAGAACCTTCTGTTGCTATGATTTGTAAGGAGCTGAACCTTATTACGAACACCTCCGTTCACCTGGTTGTGAAGGAGGAGGACTGCATTTAAAAGTTTGTACATTTTGCTCTGTCAGTATATCTATTGTGTGTATGAGTGCATGTGTGTATGCTGTTTGCAGATGAAAAAGTAATTAACTTATTTTTACCACAGATTTTGTAAACGTGCCAAAGTGTATAATAGCTGTACAATGTATATTTGCTGCCACTTAAGGAGTCGTGTCTATAGTACACTACGTTCCATGCATTGATATTTATTTGTATTCATGGCCAAATTTTTAAATAAAAAAAAACATCCACTTTGGACGACTATTCTTGCTGCACGATTGTTTTTTTTTGTTTTTTTTTACAAAGCGGTATTTAGGGTAAGCGTACCTATGGCTTGAATTAGAAGCTTTTGTTCATCAAACATCAAAAAGCTATAAGAGAACCCCAGATATTAAAATGACAACTAAATGGTGTATTTAAAGGTTTAGTATAGCTAAATCTATTTTATTGGGTTTTGTAGTTGAGAGTGTAAAGTTAAAAACTGCTATATGAGGAACCCTCAAAACCAGCTTTACAAGTCAGTGAGACTTTGGCCTCAGTGCTACATGCCACGACCAACACCAACACTAGTCCAGCTCACACTTTGTCTAATCCTGCTGCTCTCTCTGCCTGTGAGTTACTGAGAATGCTTTTATGTCACCTGTTGTGCTTCAGTACAACCTTCACTCAGCCAGAGCCAACATATATGTGCCTCTCAACATGCAATCACATACACTGAATTATAATACAGTGAAGTGATGGTTCAGGAAGAAAGTCAGAAGCATTAGAAACTCACTCATTCATGTCTGTGTCAGCTCCAGTGCAGTCAGCTGTTTTGTTCTGTGCTGTCAGTGAGACTCTGAGTGGACAGCAGCAGCTCAGCTACTTTTTTTCTTTTTTTTTTTGTAACTTTTGTTTTTATTATATTTTTATTTTAAATCCATCCATTATACGATCACCATCAATATACATCAAACAATCCATGAAAGTGATGGTATAACAAAGATAAACAACAACATGTAACATAAGTCAGTGATATTCTTCTATCACTTACAAGTGCTTAAGCTTGTTTTGTATATCTCAACCATTTCTCCCAGCCTTTTACAAAGTCTTCTTCTTTCAGTTTCAGCTTAAAGGAAAGCTTCTCCATCTCAAGGATGTTTTCTATAATCGACAACCACTGTTTATGATTTGGTGCCTCAGCTTTTAGCCAGTTCTTAGTGATGGTTTTCTTTGCCGCCGCAATAAGAATCTTGACCAGGTATCGATCACCAACATGTACAGATCCTTCCAAATGTCCCAGGTATAACACAAGAAATGATCGGGGAACAACATAACCCAGTACTTTGCACAGAAACTGAATGTATACGACCCCAGAAAGATTGGATTTTCATACAATTCCAAAAGACGTGTGTGTGGTTTGTATTCATGTTATCACACAGTCTCCAACAGGGTTGTTGTATTTTCTTATGTTTACTTGTGATTTTAGGTGTTATAAAAAAAACAAATCTGGTTCTTCCATGTGAATTCTCGCCAACTATGTGATTGTGTTGTGGTTTGAGTCATTTTCCACATATCCAACCACATCTGTTCTGAGATCTCCACATTCACTCTTTTTGCTTTAACATACTGTGTTGATTCATTTATAGATTCCATTAAACAACAATATAACAATGACACAGGTCGTTTTATATTGTTATTATAGCTCAGCTACTTTTAAGGCTACACACTCTGGAACAGTGTGTCTAGCACAGGGCTGAAACCTGGGTTATACAGTCATGCTGAAATAAACCCACTGTTCAGTATTTTGAACTGAAAACTGAAAGACACGTTTTGAGGAAACTGTCATACTTTGTTGAAAAAAAAAATGGCACAACATATGGGACCTTTAAAGTCCTGGTAAAGGCACAGCAAAACCATCCATGTATCAATGACAATGTGGTCAATACGTTTTTGAAAAAAACATTTCAAAGTATTGAGTAATTTAAATGAAGAGCCAGAGAGAAAATCCTGCAGATTTTTAAGGCATCATTATTCTAATGTGTAGTGATTATACCTAACATGTATAAAAGTTTCAAATGTATGTGTTTGCGCAGTAATTTATTTATTTTATTTTTTATTTTTTGAATCACTGGCGTGTGTCCATGCTTTTATTTTTAAAAGAGACCCTCGCCGTGTTGACGTCCCGTCAGTCCCGGCAGCGCTCCGTTCACACTGCACCACTACAGTTCCGGTTCCACCTCGCAACAGCACTTCAGCTACAACGACGGCGGGAAGTTATTATCATCAATTTAACCAAAATTCAGCAATAACTAAACGGACGAAATTGTTAACGGTCGACAGTTCACTATCCATTATTGATGGCTCTGTAGTCGGAAATACGCTATCGGTAACCTGAGCTTAGCGGCGTGGGATTGAGCTAACATGGCTAACGTCGGAAACCAACTACCAACACAGGCCGTTAGCAAGCCTGCCGCAGGAAAACATGGAAATGTACTGCCCCTGTGGGGCAACGAAAAGACTATGAACCTCAACCCAATGATTCTTACCAATGTGCTGTCCTCGCCGTATTTCAAAGTTCAGCTTTATGAACTAAAGACCTACCACGAAGTTGTGGACGAAATCTATTTCAAGGTAACGTTAGCAAATGCTAACCCGCATGCTAGTTAGATAACCACGTCCAGTCAAGCTAGCGTTATTGTGGTGGTAATGTGCAGCAGTCGTCAGGTATCGAGCTGAACTGGCTTCATGTGGCGCCTGATTTAACTTAACTTATAGTTTAAGACTCGGGAAGATATTCGCTTATTTCGTGTAGCCCTGGCATCAAATATTTAGATCACTGTGTGCTTACCAGTAACTTCAAGGCAGCGTTAATTACACTAAATAGTGCCTGAGCTCGGTTGGATCGGTTCGGTCCCATCAGCGGGCTTCTCTTGTACATTAGACAGTACCTTAATGTGAGGTTTATTCAGACTTTGTTTTCTACCATTCTGCGTTAGTTTTTTCCAAATGTGCTGCTCTGGCATTCATTTCAGTTCGGTTTGATTTATATAGCCCCGATTTACAACACATGCCATCTCAACGTAGCACTCCGCGTAGTAAAATTAGAGAAACCCAATTAATCCAATGATTCCTTTGGATTTCCATTGAGCGCGCTCCTGACAACAGCAGCATTAGGACACAACTTCTGACTTAGTGGGAAAGTATTAAGACACTTAAGTCATAGAACTGATACTAATGATTATTGTCGTTATTGATCAATCTGTTGATTAATTTCTTAATTAATTGTTTGGTCAAAAACTGTTACAAAAAAACGTAAATCAGTATTTTCCAAACCCCAAGATGATGCCTTTAGGTGTGTTATTTTGTCTGTAATTCACTTTAATGTCTTGAAATGAAACATTCAGAATAGTTGACAATTAATTTTAGTTGATGACTAATTGAATAATCGTTGCACGTCCAGTTAGTTCAGCTAAAAAGATGCCCGTTAGGTTGTGTTATGAATGAATGAGTCTCGGCATTTCTCACGAAGCATCAGGATGATCTTTCTGTTTGTGGTGTGTATAGGGGCAACTCCAAGTGGGTCTTGCAAACAGGTGTGTGACTTGAGTTTTAAGTTGTTCTCTGTGACCACAGGTGACTCACGTTGAGCCCTGGGAAAAAGGAAGCAGAAAGACAGCCGGCCAGACTGGAATGTGCGGAGGGGTAAGTGAGAAGTACGTGCTTTTTATATTCCCCATCTCTTCCCCCCTCAGTGTTTTCCTAACCAGTGTGAAAGTTGTTTCAAAGCAGTCTGTTGACATCATAATGTGATTTACAAGTGAGGCCAATTTACCGGTGCTTAGTTAAATGATGCTCCAGTTACTGTGCTTAAGTCAGGTAGTCGGTCGTTATGAAAGGTGTAAATACTGTGCAGCGATGTGCTTTATGAATATGTGTTCTCCATCCTCACTAGGTGCGTGGAGTTGGGACTGGTGGGATTGTATCTACTGCTTTCTGTCTACTATACAAACTGTTTACTCTCAAGCTGACTCGCAAACAGCTGATGGGTCTGATCACTCACACAGACTCTCCATACATCAGAGCACTTGGCTTCATGTACATAAGGTATGGACCTTCGACAGATTTGATCACTGTAGAGCTTTTAATTAAACGTGTCCCTGAAGTTTTTATTCTATTTTACCTGTTTGTTATGTTTTTATCCTTTTAAGTCTTTAATGTAGCACTTAGAGATTTTGTTGAAATGAAAAGTGCATTACAGACAAAATGTATTATTATAAATATTATGTGTAGAGGTTTTCTGTTTAAGGCAACATGTAAAATATGTTTTTAATGTATCAGCTAGATGAATAAAGAGATTATAAGAATGTTTTAGCTCATGGAAAGTTTTGTTTAAGCCGTTGCCTATGTTAGCATCACATGTTTGAAGGACAATTACGAAACAAATCGACAACATAGAGCAAATATCTGTGTAACATCTGCTCTCTGTTTTGTTGTGCTGCAGATACACTCAGCCCCCCACAGACTTGATAGAATGGTACGATGGCTTCCTGGATGATGAGGAGGTATGTCAACTCGGGTAATAATTTGATGTTTCTTTCTCTCCATGAAATGCTCAGTCAAACCACACACATTCAGAGCCATTCGTTAACCCCCCCTTGTGATGCTCATAGCTGATTTTTCACCTTTGCCTTCATTTGGCTTAATTGTCCCCAGTTTTTGTCCTCTAAACCTGAGTAGCTAGGTTACTTGCTCACTGCTCTGCTGCTGATTTGTATCAGGGTAAGTACCATGTATGATGCTGAGAATCTTTTAGTCATTGTAAATATTAAGGCATGCCCTCTGTTATGTTTTATTTTTTTTTATTTTTTGACAAGCTTTTGTCAGGACTTGTTGCACAAAACTAAATTTGGGATAGATGGCATTTGGAACATTCACATGTATTACACACACACACACACACACACACACACACAAATGTATAACACTTCAGATCTTGCATAAATCTCTTGTGATTTTCTCCTTTTTTTTTCATGTTGAAGTAAAACCTAATTTGATCCCACGCTGTGCAACCAGGCCTCCTTTGATGTTCTGTTGCATTATATTTGAATTGATCATTCTGAAATCCTACCCAACTGGTTAATTCCCCTGTTTTTTTCTTTAGATGCCCATTGTGCAGCAGGTGAATTGGATATTGTATCTCAGCACTGTTGGTTTGCGTGAGTGCAAAGCGGCTGTTCTCTACCATATAAAGTTGATAACTATTCAACTGGTGTGCACTTACC